ATATAGTTCCCATAGAGACCTATCCCCGATTTGAAGAATTTTTCATTGTTCAACAGATTTTGATGAAAACTGAAAACAAAATATACCTTCCACCAAAAAAAAAATCAAAAAGCGACGTTTTGAAACTGTAGTGGGATAGATATATATGCAGCGAAACCAATTTTTCGTAATCTAAAAACTTTTTTCAGTATTATGGGAAAAAAGTTTGAGAGTGCCAAGGAATGTCAACCTCTTTTGAAAGTATACTCCGAAATAGTTGACCAAATTTACCAAATTTTTATTTATTGGCATTCGAGAATGAGCTGACCTGTTGGCTTACTCAATCCGATCTTACTCAGTGAGAGCATTTCTCCCCCTATACTTTTATTTGTCCATGTATCCACTTTTGTTCCGCCACCTATATTGAAATGACCACGATGCGTTCGTTAAAGTCTCTGGAGGAATGTAACTCGTTTTAGGACCAACTACTAGGCTGATTAAGAGCGACTGACAAATGTTCGCCAATGAAGGTAAGAATTTAAATATTGTTAAGTTGATGAAAATCAAACGAAAATACTGCTCGGCTCGCCCTCTACACTTCCTGCTGTGACAGAGCCATTTTACATAAATGCCCATCTAAGAGCCATTGCCGCATTATTGCAATGTCAAAGTTTAACACTTGAAACGATGGCTTTGCTACATTAACAAACAAACAACAACAACAACAACAATAACAACAAATGAAAAACCAAGCCTAACAAAAGACTCGCAAAGGGCTCATTATTTTATTCAGTCAAATATTTCAACGAATAAAAGCCCCGGCACACACACACACACATACATACATGCATGCAGAGAAGCAGCCGCACAATGGAAGTCACATCGAACAAAGCGCTAAATGGAAGGCTGAAAGGCACTGCTCGGCGTTGCACAAAAAATGGCGGTGCGAATTTCCTTTGGGAGCCAAATTTGAAATAAAAAATAACATCGGCCATTCAACGGCATGAACAACTCCGATGAAACTGAAAGGATCTGAAGGGTGCTTCAGAAAATCCAAACCGAGTTGTGCTGCCGGCAGTCGGCATTCGCTGCTCGACACTCGATCTTAATGTTGCGATTTCAACTGTCATTAATTACAGTCAACTTTTGTCCAACTTTGTTTCGAGTACTTTAATTTCTGTTCATTTGTTGAGTACAACATTTGTGATTAATTAAATCCACGCGAGCGTCAATTGGAAGTCGAAACTTTTTTAAATTATTTTCCCAAGTACAGAATACAATAACAACAACCACAAACATAATTTGCTAATGTAGCAGCAAGTGTCTCCTGGACAAGTGTCCACAAAACAAGGAAAGCAATACTACCGAAAGTGTCTGCCACGATTCGGAGGCTTTACAAATCTGCACTCCAGACAGATTAGTCTTAGCCTTAGGTAGAAGCTGCATTAACATATGTGGCAAAAGTGGCATTTTAAAGGCCAGCCTGCTCTTCGAGCAAATAATACTTTTCAGATATAACAAGTGAATATGCGGCTAAGTTCGCCCGGGGCAGATCTTTCACTACTTTCCACCATTTGGAAGGAAATTGCAAAATGTTAAAAAATGCCTCTTTAATTATTCCGATGTATCTGTCATACAAACTAGTATCCATTATGAACACCAAATTCCTGCCTTAAAATAATTTCGTTGAATAATGTCGCTTAAATTATCGAAATATCGAATATAGGGAGGTACCGGTATATCGGGCTATACGAAGAGGTTGATCTGTACACGTGCCCATTGCGAACTCCAAATTATAAATTTGAAATAATTCCGTTAAAAATGTGGCTAAAATCGTAAAAACACCGAATATCGAGAAGTACAGTTGCTTGAGTGCGATACGAAAACGTGGACCTGTATAAATGATTTTCCGTCATAGAAGGGATCACCCATCACGAATTCCAAATACCAAATTCTGAAAAATTCTGATGAAAAATGTGGCACTACAATTTCCCACGTTTTGGGATTACTACAAATACCTGTTTCGAAGTACATTTGCCTATCTTTAATATTGTTACCCCTATCTTGAGGTTAAGAGACGTGCAGATAGACGGACATCACTAAATCAATAAAGGTTCAAGCCGACTTTCAAATTGGGATGTACCAGCAGAAGGCGTTACAATAAAGTGTGGGCCTGTGTGCCAATACGGGACACAAGTCTCAAGGTGTCAAACCTCCTCCGAATTTTAATATCACGTAAAGTCCCAGAAGGTATTGCCATGCAATGTAGTAAACACCCACCATCTCTTTGCCCTGACAAGCCAGTACCTTCCTTTCCATGACTCCAATATGCGATATGTTGAATTTAAAGGTATTCCATTGTGCTGATGTTAATGATGGAACTGGGACTTGCCTCTGCCATTCGGACGGGAGATGAACAGAAACTGCCTGGCGATTTAGAAATAAAAAAATTAGTATTAGGGGGCATTGTTCGGCTGGAAGCTAACATTCCCTATGGCTTCGAAGTTTTGCAAATGACTGCGGCAGTAACAACAACTAGGGACGAGCATTTACATTGACTCGCCGGGCTGGTGGGTGGTGTGCCTGCTATGCCCCAGGGCTTTGGAGTGGATTTCGGCTCACTAGTGGAACACATCAACCAGATACGAGTTTATGAAAAAAGTTTCACAATGAAAACTGACGTACAATGAATGGCTCGAAAACAAACAGACTTGAATGGCAATGGAACACCGAACAATTGATTAGAATTCAATTCAATTCAATTGAAAGTTGAGTTTAGTTCGTAGCCATCGATGGGGTTTTGTGTTCGCAGGGATTGTTTGGGTTTCTTCGTTCCATTATTTTGATTTTTCGATTATTGTTTTTTTACACAGTGGCGGTGAGTGGCAGGGCGTCGGGAGTGGGGGTGGTGGTGGAGAACGATGCTATTGTGTGCTCCCTTCACATTGTTCGTTATTCTTGGGGTTGTATGGAAACTTATTATCCCAACGTGCAATTGACAGGTGTATCTGTCAAAATGAAAGCGGGTTGCTTAGGCCATTGTTGATGCAGTGAATTTGCGTAACAATGTCTCTGTCGGTGTGTATGTGTGTCGCCACGATGTATGTACCTCGGCCATCTCGAAGCTTTCATTATAGTACTATGAAATTTCCATTTATCCGATCAATCAGACTCCATAATTTAAAAGGATGGTTATGCGCCATATTCGCTTACTTTCGCCGATAGAAAAATGTTCGTCTTGATAAACTATTGATTGTTGTTCCGTTCGACATTACCTGAGAAACATAACATAACATTTTCCCGGCATGTTATGATGACTTCTCACGTTGAGTTTTTTTGCGAATGAGGAGAATGGGGGGGAAAATTATTGAAAACAAGCAAAGAAGCACGAGGCAAAACTAAGTATTTAAAAGAAACGGGATTAAATATTCAAACAAGTTGAAACATGCCCGTAAAATCGGTACTGTTATATGAGGTCATACCATAAAGCGAAACAAGGGGGCTATACGAAAATGTGGACCAATGTGGTGGTTCATTTACGATTTTGACCTGCCTATCAACAAAATACACATCCACTGAGAACCTGAATTGACAAAACACCGTTTTTAACTTGAGAAATGGGTTTAAGCCTCTTAGACACTCGGCGGTTCATTATATGCAGGTTAAACAAAAACGCCGGTCGAAATTTTTGATGTTGAACAGCGTTGCCATGTTTGTTCGTGCCGTACCGTAGTATTTAGTTGTTGCAAATTAATTAGGCTTAGTTCCATTATTGTTGTTTTTATATGGGGATATTCTCCCCAGGAGTTATTTTAAAAAATAACTCCTATGGCAAAAAACTTTTTTTTTTTTAAATAGATGTCCTGATTCATGCCAGAGTTAATTTTAACTAAAGGCATCCTTATTAAATAAACAACAATTTTTGTCGATTTTAGGTTAACAAGTAAAACAATACGCACAATTCATGATACACAAATTACAAGGTAGGCCAGGTTGATCAAATGTGAAAAATGCAGCACTGAAGCTAGAGCCTTGTATCTTGAAATTAACTAATAGCGAATGCAGCAAGCCGTTTTTTTTATTTGACACTTTTTCACAATGTTTTAGTGTAAGAGAATATCGAGATATCGAATCTCCAATATGACTAACTTTTTCATAAGTTCGCTGCCAAAACGCTGACAATTTCTTTCCAAAAGTTGTAAATTAGATTTTAAATAGAATTTGAAACTGAGAATTTTTAGATAAAATGTTTGCAAAATATCTACCATTTCGAGTATTGCAATAATTTTCGTTAAAATTGTTTTTTGTTTTCTTTTGTCAGTTTTTGTGCATTAATGCATTAATATTGTCACCATAACTCAATGCCACTCGTCCAGGCTAGATGTGAGTGTAGAAATGACGTCTTAGATTATTCAATGTTGACCATCCACCCAACTCCCAGCTGCCTCTTTCAATGGCATCTTCACCTGTTCGGTGACACGATGCCATAAGAATGCAAGCAAACGGAGCAGTCTCGAGTCTCCGCCCCCAATTTATGGCAGCGGACAGGCAATTGATATGTTAATAATTGTTCGTAAGTGTGATTGTAATGTGAGTGCCTTTTTGCGGCGGCTGTGGGGATTTCCATCCGTTGTGGCATAAACTGACGTCTAGGATCCTTTATGAAGTGGTTGGACGTCCTTTTCTGTTTAATCACAGGCTGGGGTGAATGTTATATATGTGTGTATGTATGTTAAAATGTATCAATAAATACGAAGCAATGACAATGTCCTCATGTTTGACACAGATTGGAATAAAAATAGAGAGTAAAAGCACCTAGAGGTTTATCTTCTGAGGAATTTGGGAATACGCTATATTTACCCGTTCTATTTGTCCTCATTGTGCCAATCGGTTTGCATTTGTAGTGTATCCTACGGCAATGTTTTGCCGGAGACTAGTTTCCACTATCCTGGAAATTCTTTAATACTGTAATAAGTTTGGCATCCTGGCTTACATTATTTTATTCTATTTGTTATCATTAGGTGCTGAATGGAAACTGCTGACGGAAGACGAAAAACGTCCCTTTATTGATGAAGCCAAGAGATTGCGGTAAGGCATGGGCCAGATGTAGAAAGTTCACGATTTCCAATTTTTATTTTTTATTTCTATTTTAGAGCAATGCACATGAAAGAACATCCAGACTATAAATACAGACCCCGAAGGAAACCCAAAGCGCTCCGGAGAGATGGCTATCCATATCCCATGCCATATCCATCGGTTCCCGTGGAGGCCCTTCGAGCTGGTAAGTTCATTTGATTTTGGACTGATGGTGTCATTGCAAATCATGGAATGGCCATAGCTGAATATTAAACAGGAAGGAGAAGTTTTAGGAAGATGGCACAAAGAAGAGCCCGAAACGGAAGCAAAGAAAATCCATATATCAATCGACTGGGCAGTTGACAAATAACTATCTGACACTGGGTTGTGAGTGGAACACGAATTGAATGGGGCAGACGACCGCTCCTTTTCCCTCCATTGACATTATATTATATTCGAAGTTGGCTCAACATACATTCTGTCTATTTCGTCTGCCCTAGTAGATGACTTGGCGCGAGCAAAGAGGATGACGATGTGTAATTAGCATTTTCCCAGCGTCAGCATTAAATCGAGTTACAGTTGTCGTTGCAAACTCTGGCATGTTAGTGTCCTGCTTCGGAACTATTGTGATTTGCATGAGTCCAACAATGCCATGGCCATAGCCATAGCCATGGCGACCAGACAAGAATGGATAGGCTGTTTTGTATTGTTTTGTTTTGGAAACTGACAAAAAAAACACAAAAACTTTCTTAAGCAGTGAATACGAGATGTAGTCGCTGTTGGAAAGAAAAGAGCTGAATCACAAACACAATTAGATGAAGTCAGCGATTTATATTCAAACCATTTTCGGACGGCCCATTCTACATTTAATTGTTATCTTAAGAACCAATTTTCTGGACCGAGTGACTGAGTGGTAAAGACATAAACTATTGAACGCCTTCTTTCTTGCAGGAATTACTCCGAGTTATTTTGCGCCGGGACCAGCAGCGGCAGCGGCTTATCATTTGGGCAGCCATTTGACGCAAACCAACCCGCCAACATCACAGGTGAGTGCAAGTTGAAACAGTCAGGAGAAGGGTTACCGACATACCAATTATCTCAAGTGCTCTCTACGCCGTGGAAACTGTTTGGGCCAGAAGCGTTTCAGTTAGAGGAAACGCACAATTATTTCTGATGTACTCCGGTCTGGGATTTCTCCGTTGTGCCACGTTTCGTCCGGCCAACCAGGGACAGTTGAACGGTAGCAATACACCTCCACCTCCACTCACAACAACAACAACAACAGTAACCGTTCAAGAGTTGCCCATCGATCAGCAGAAGATACGTTTGAATGCTGCCTCATTGTCTCCTCTGTGTCCGCCTTTGTCCGCTAACGCACCTGCAAATTATTTCGATGATTGTTTAATAACATAATTTTCTACCCACTTTTTGACGCCCACTTAAACAGGCAGCCAGCCAGCCAGCAGAACCAGCCGCACCGGTTCATAGCTGCTCACGAACGTCACGGCTTTTATCCTCCAAGTGTTGATCGGCACTAAATTTCAGCGAGTCATCCAAGCTCACGATTGCTAACAAGAGTGTTTAGCCACTCATTGAGCTGGTAACACCTTGTTATTTTTCAATTATAACCATTTAAATAGACTCATGCACATGAACATGCCCCTTGCCACAGGGAGGGAGCATGCATGTGCACCATGCATGCATGCATGAACAAACATACACACACGCTCCAGCTCCTCTGTTTGATATCTACATGTGAATGTGTGGGTACTTTGATGCGACACCAACCATCCTTTTAGTCGTAATCCGAATGACACAAGTACGTGGAATTGGCGACTCTTCCTTCTTGTCGCATTGTCCTGACAGCCTAAAAGGATGTCAGCTGCCTTTCAAAGAAAAGCCTGGTGCTTTATAGCCGAAGCGTGAAAAATGAACTGAGTAGTACCTCCAATGCACCCGACTGTCAATTTGAACACGTCGCCTGCTTTGCTGCCACACACCTAGAGGAACCGTGTAAGAGCCCAACAGGCAGTGGCTGTCTCCATTGCAGCCAGCGCATACCGTATATACATATGTGTACAAGTATAGTTGTTCTGCAGCACTTTGTGGGGCGGTTGGAACTCCCGTGGCAAATAATCTTCATCGTAATGTCATAACGAGGACCCACTCTCCATGTACTTCGGGCGGGAGCTATTGGCACTCAGACAATGTGACAGCCTTGTTAGTGCGGTGCATGGCGGCCTATTCATTAGCAAGCTATTAAAATCCATGACTGTTGCTTGGCTTTGTTGGCCATGCCATGTGCAGAACAACAATGGGTCCTGAACATCCAAGACAAGGTTGCCGGGATCGGGAGGACTGCAACATGGGCTTCAGCTGGCCCGACGGGTTTCCTTGAGCGAAGCCGCCAGAGCCCAGCAAAACATTAGAGGTCACATTCGTCAGCCGCCAGTCACCAGTCTCCAGCGTGGTGTTTACATCAACACAATTAATTGATTACTGCAATCACAATATTTGTTGTTACAATTCCCAATTCCCAAACTGTTTCGAATTGTAATTGCGTGGATAAAAACAACATTGAACCGTATTAAGTGCGAGTGTGTGTGTGTTCGGCGTGCGAGTGTGGGACTGGCTGGGCGGATGTTGTGTCGTCGCGAGTGCAAACACACTGATGAAACCGGAGAAGATGATGATGTGTTAACAATGTAATTATAGCCTCGACACCCTTGCCCGGAGGAGGGTAGCGTTTTCTGCATGTTCACCAACATGTGAGAACGTTTCGTAAGAAGCCACCCCTGGCTGGGCTGCTTCGCTGTAGACACAGCCTTGATTTGGCAACGATGTCTGTGCCCGAGTGTTGTTGTAGCAGCGGACGCAAATAATAGGGGGAACAAACGTTTTAAATAAATGCGATTACATTGCAATAAAATTGTATTTGTGTTTATTCCCATTGTCCTCGGGTCTGTGTTAGAGAACCTGCTACGATTCGGATTGTTTGCCTTCCCACTTGAGTTTTTAATTGCGGCCAAAGGATTCAATCCCAGCAATGTTGTTTAGTGTTTGCGGATGGTGTGCTACGGGGCGGGTGACAAGACGACCAGGGGTGGTTGCCGGCTGCTCGGCGAAACTGTTTCCAAATCCTATTAAGTAGAGTGTCATCATGCACAATTAGAAACCGTGTCTGTCCGACCGCCAATATGGTCGGCCGCATTGTTAATTTCGAAATCCCCAAAATGTAAAACGATACCCATTGTCCGCGCCCGCTTCAATTGCCGCTTATGGCTTTCAATTATTTAAGCATGTTGTTTTATGCATTGATGCGAACAATGTGTTGTGTTGTTGGGCAAAGTTGAAACAGATTGTCGAATAGACGACTGTGCGCATTAACCCCGACTATGTGTATTAATCCCTTTCACATCTCTTTTTTGTCTTACAGAGCTCGATTTCGGCGCAAATGGAGGTACCGAAATTCGCCTTGGATCGCAATTCGTATCTGGGCTCTGCTGCATCAGCTGGATCTTTGTATGAATCGTCTAAGGCCGCCCAGGCCAGTGCGGCTTACAGTGCCTACTTGGATCCCAGTGTCCTGACCAAGGCCTATTTTGACTCCAAAATGTATCAGGACCGAGCGGCCAATTATGCCTTTGACATATCGAAAATATACGGAGCTCAGCAGCACAACACATCGGCAGTAGCCGCGGCTGCGGTGCACCAGCATCACCAGCAACAGCAACACCTACTCAACGGCCTGGGTATTCCGAGTCCACACAGCAACAACAACAACAACGCTTCATCGAATAGCACGACCAACTTGGAAGAACGCGACACATCCCCGTCACACCTTGAGTCCGGTGGGAACAACAATGCCAGTGGCATTGGCGGACTGGCCGACTCCAAATCACATCTCCACTCCCCCAATGACAGTCAGCTGGAGTATTCCCAGTACGGCCAGTACAACCAGGGCGGCGGGAACTTCCAAAATAATGGCCTCTCTGCACCAGCGCCCACGGCCAACAGTTCGTCAGTGTCGTCGGCCAGTAGCGGTGATTTTCGAAGGCCGCTGACAGTCATATTCTGACCGCCCTCCGAGGAATGTGAAGAACTGAATCTGTCCATCACACATTGAAGCAACCACACTTGCATCTACGCCAAGACCAAGTACAAAGCCGATTTCATAATTAAGGATACAGCGACGGACAGTGACGTGTCTGTGAGAAGAAGCGAGAGTCCCCTTTGCACTCTCCCTCTCTGTACATCGACAAGAATTGACTTAGATGAACATTTTTACAACGATCAGAGCGAAATCAAATCACACAATACATACAAACAAATGTATTAACTCGCAAAGCTGAGATTACCATACCCCTCACTCACCGCACGCACACACACACACACACATAGAACCACAATCAATGTAGGAACATATATTTGTACTATTTTAATTGTACTCCATCGACATACATACGTACATAACTAGCATTTAAGTTGTAATCAAAATGTCATACTCATGCACCCAACCCAGTACAGTCCAGTCCAGTCCTCGAAACTACACTGGAAACGCACACCCCGACAACAAATGTACTTCGAGCATGTACTTCTAATAGCGTAGACTTCTAGGCAAATTGTAGATTATTAATTATGAACTAATTTATTTGTATGTAGGTGTATGCATACGTATGTATATATATATAAGTAAGACACTGGAACATATGTTTTCACTGTTACTCCATTGCATAGGTCCCAACACACGATGTGTAAATAAAGAACGTATTCATTTCATATTTTGCAAAAGAAAAGGGTCTGTTCTTTTATTTCTCCATTAGGATGTAAGTTGGTTTCGATAACCGGTCGAAAGAATTCTTTGCAACCCAAGACACGAACCCAAAATGGTCAACTCCGCCATACCCAACATTGGTAAAGTAACGGGGGTTGGATTCTACCACAGACAGAGCCAGAGTGTGTTGTAATCAGCGTTCGAAAATAAACAGTACACTAACATAGTGTACTGTTCCGGTACAGTATCACTAAAAAAATTGTAGCGGTAGTGTTCCGGTACACTACCACTAAAAAATATTTTAGTGATACTGTACCGGAACACAACGATGATCGTAGTGTACCGCAGTCGGAACACTAAAAAATCGTAGTGTTCCGCAATCGGAGCATTAAAAAATCGTAGTGTAGCACATGACCACATTAAAAAATCGAAATCATAAAACTGATTTTAAACACTCAGCCATACACTGTAAAATATTTAGTTTTTTACACCAACACTCATTCATTTTTCGGTACCACAAAATAGCAGGTAAATTATTTGCATAATAACCCATTGCAATGCAACCACTAAAATACCCTTTTTCGTGGAAAATTTCAATTTTGAATGGTTAAATACAAATTATTATGACTTCAGATTTGGTCCTTTTTTATTCTTTCTACCTAGTCCCATATTTTTCTACTTTCTTCAATCTTTCAACCAATCTAAACATACATGACAAATAAAATAAATCCAGCTTTTATTTTCATAATATTGAATTATGCTAGTAATTTTTGCATTATCAAAAACATAAAACATCTAATTTTTCTCACAAATCGTAAACAACACATATGTGGTACACTACCGATACATTATTTTTTTAGTGTTCCGCCATGCGGTACACTACGATTTTGTAGTGCTCCGACTGCGGAACACTACGTTTTTTAGTGCTCCGACAGCGGTACAGTACGATTCTTGTTGTGCTCCGGTACAGTATCACTAAAATATTTTTTAATGGTTGTGCTCCGGTACGGTACATTATCTTAGTGTACCACTCCACCTCGGAACGGTACAGAACACTACGGTACAGTACCATACTGTTTATTTTCGAACGCTGGTTGTAATACCTATCTAGTAAACAGCGTTCGAAAATTAACAGTATGGTATTGTACCGTGTTCTGTACCGTTCCGAGGTTGGGTGGTACACTAAGATAATGTACCGTACCGGAGCACAAGCCTTAAAAAATATTTTAGTGATACTAAACCGGAGCACAACGAGAATCGTACTGTACCGCAGTCGGAGCACTAAAAAACGTAGTGTACCACATGGCGGAACACTAAAAAAATAATGTACCGGCATTGTACCACATATGTTTTGTTTACGATTTGTGAGAAAAATTAGATGTTTTTGATAATGCAAAAATTATTAATACAATTCAATATTATGAAAATAAAAGCGGAATTTAATGTATTTGTCATGTATGCTTAGATTGGTTGCAAAATTGAAGAAAGTAGAAAAATATGGGAATGGGTAGAAAGAATAAAAAAGTACAAAATCTAAAGTGATAACAATTTGTATTTAACCAGTGAAAATTGAAATTTTTAATTTTCCGCGAAAAGGGGTATTTTAGTGGTTGCATTGTAATGGGTTATTATGCAAATAATTTACCTATTGTACTAGTAGTTGTAAAAAACTAAGTATTTTACAAAGTATGGCTGAGTGTTTAAAATCAGTTTTATGATTTCGATTTTTTTAATGTGGCACACTACGATTTTTTAATGCTCCGATTGCAAAACACTACGTTTTTTTAGTGTTCCGACTCCGGTACACTACGATTTTACTGTTTATTTTCGAACGCTGCTAGTAAACAGTTCAGACCAAAAATTGACCTCTTGGTGGTGGGCTACGTTGGTGGATTCAGCGTAAAGTGTATTATTCCGAAAATGGGGAAAACAAATAGCATCAAGCTTATTGTAAGACAAGTTGTTTGTATTTCTAGCCCGGTCAAATGTATCGATTTGGCTTAAAATGTGTGTTTAGGCTAATTTGGGGTTAGAGAACCATCTTACATGGGGCTATTATAAACAGTTGCTTTAAACTTTTTAATATATGTATTATTTGGGTTTTAACCTCTCAAATTAAAACCTCTGGCTGAAAAATGGGATCAGGGTTTTTTGAAACACTATAGATCGCCCGGTACATGAACCTGTAAAATTGTGCCACATATGTGAGCCAGATCTTTGAATTATTATACTTTAAAAACTATGCATTAAAGACTAAAACCACGGGCCGGCAACGCAGACCGGGCCATATATAATCGCATAATCGATATAGCATGTTATGCCGATCAAGAATATTCATACATATATTTCTTTTTGTGAGTTCTAAAATTCATATTTCGAAGTATAACAAACGGGATGAAAAGACACGTTTTGGCGAAAACTATGACATGGTTTTCAAAAGGTAATAAGTAAGCCCAAGCACGAACGCAAAATAATCTCCTCCACCATACCCAAATTTGGTAAAATAACGAGGGGTTGGACTCTACCACCGACATAGCCAGAATGTCTTGTGACACCTCTCTAGTAAACTGCTCAGAAATATTAAAAAATGTCTATAATGTGGCCGGGGGCTACGTTAATGGGTTCAGTGTAAAGAGCATTATTCCGAAAATGGGAAAAAACAAGCTTCAAGCTAATTCTAAAAAAAAAGTTGTTTGGATTTGTGGCCCGGTCAAAATTATGCATTACAGCGTTACCTTAAATTCGACTTAGTAGTGTACACAAACATTTACCTTCGCCACTGTGGTAAAATGTTTTGTTCGCCCGTATTGCCCAAATGCGGGAGATCCATATCTTTAAATCTACCCATTAATTGATCATTTTCAGAATTCTCCAATTGGTATATTTTCTAATTAGAAACATTGAAATTATTTGTATAAATCATTTCTAATTTCAACACAAAAACAATTCGTCCAATTGTCAATGTTAAAAATTTTCAACTGAAAAATTTTGTACGTCCGACGTATTTGGGTAACATCAATATAAATACATGTGTTTCACTTGTGTGGTGAAATGTGTCGAATTTTAAGTAACGCTGTTACAATCAAAGCAATTAGCAATGTGGTGGACAAGTCAAGACACAAACCCAAAGTTAGTACATACCACCATCCCCAACTATGGTAAGGTAACTGGGGTTGGAATCTGCGCAAAATGTACTCTCCCGACTGTTGATAAGCTTTGGCGAAAAGCATCACCTATCTTTAAAAAGAGTTTTGTAGAAAGTAATAAAATGTGTAAATTCCCAGTGTTGTTCGATTTGTAACCAGTTTACAAATCGAACAACCAAACCGGTTTCAACAGAGTGACCATAGATGGTCTGTCAGAAATTGTGACGTATATTACAATAGTCGTAAACCTAGGTTAATAACAGAGGGCTGCAACGAGTATGCAAAAATTCAAGCACACTCGGTTTCTTACATGATTTTTGTTGATGCAGTCGTTTAGTTTGATCTGAATGAAATGACCGTTTTCGCTTCTGATCGAATCGAACGCTCAGTTTGAATCACTTCATTCACGATCAAACATGAGCGTTCGAGACGGTTTGATGTGATCAGCAACATGAGTTGATCAAACACATGAATGTAAATGAGCAATCACAACCGTGATTGTCTTCTTTGAATCGAGTTCGCTCAGCGTCATTGTTTATTCAACCATTTAATCAAGTTGGGACAGTTTATTTTGACTTTTTTAATATTTGAAATGGAAGAATATTGCGATAGTGCGACCGAAATTGTTGCAAGTAGAAACTACACAGGTGTAGGTAAACGAAAAGGTCGAAGTTTGTGAAAAATCTTGACCAATATTGTAAAATAAAAAATATTTAAACATTTTTAGTTTTCTTTATTAAAAAATTTAATTTTGTTTTTTTTTTCGAATAAGTTACTGAAGTCTAGCATACCAAAAACACAAATAAAATGAAAAATTGTATGCTTTTTAAATATAATTTGTACCAATTTCTTTAATGGGGACATCTTTTAGTTATGAAATCCTTAGTAAAATTACAATCATGATTTCGCTCAAATTCGAACATTTGTGTTTTAATCAAATCAAATCACTCACTTAACTAGGATAAATCAAACCGATCAGACTCATCATAGATGATCGACCCGTTATGAACAATTCAACATAAGTTCGTAAACAAATAACTCATTTGAGCTGTTTGATTGCGATCACAAAACTTCGATCAATACATGTTTGATCACAACTTTTTCGTTTGGCTGAGTAACTCGAATGAACATGTTGCATCTGACCGACTGATTGAGTTTGATTGTATTTCCACTGTGTGTGATCAAGCCTACTCAATCATACTCATTGCAGCCCTCTGGTAAATAATAAGAGTTTTTGACAGGAACAAGGTTGCTGATGTTTGTCAAGCTTATTATAATTATCGATTTTATCACCTGAGAAATCGTTCCATGCATTTCATAAACAGCAGCCTTCTGTTTCGTTACAGGGAGTAAAGCAACGAATGACCATTTGGCAACAACAAAACATGGGTGCTCAACTCTTGTTCTATGAAAAGCTGAAATGAAAACTTTAATAAAGGCTACAAATGTGAAAGAAAATATTTTACAAAGGAAAAAAAGTTCATTTCATATTTTCGTAGAACAAAAATGCAGCCTCAGGTTTTAAACTCTCTCTAATATAACTTTGAAAGATTTTGACGATTTATGCAAGAAAACTATCCAACTATAGAGAAATTTGGCACAGATCAGTCTTTTGTCTGTGGGCATGTCAAATTCGAAGATGGGCTATATCGGTCCACGATATCGTATAGCCCCCATGAGTACTTTACGCTCTGGAAGATTATTGTCTATATAGGCACCCAAAATATTGAATAGCTCCCATACAACGGTACCCCCCAATATTTGGTACTTTAATGATTTTGGCCACATTTTCCAATGGAATTGCCAGAAAATCCACACAAGAAGTTCTTTCTGAGTACTTTACCCTTTGAAAGAGAATTGTTTATATGGATCCACG